TTTTATAAGAGAGAAAAGCATTTAGAGACAGCCTTACAGTGCCTTTCCCTGGGGTCTTATAATCCTGAACAGTGACAAATGCCATGTCTTCATGTAAGAGGAATGGAGAGTTAATACTTTTAGCTGAGTTTATTGCTCTCTTGAACAAAATTATGGTTTAGTTAGCAAGGAAGGAGGGGATGGATATTGGGCAGGAAATCTGAGTGTTATATTAGCTGTGAATTTCCCTGAGAATGGGGAGCCCATAAGGACATCTTACTACTGCCTCATATTAAGATGAAGCAGTACTCATTATTTAGATAATTTCTAGTTTATGTGGAATATTTTCTACTTCTTTGTCTTAAAAAAGAACTTTGCCATTAGATTTATTCCTGCCTGAGTAAAGTTTTCATTGAAAACTTACAATAACTCAGAAATTATTCATAATGCTTGATATAGCAAGTGGCTCATAGTATTTAGACATGGATGATCAGAGATTGATTTTACATAAACTGAGCTCTGAAATAAGAATGAAATAGTGACTATTCAAAGTATTGTGATAAAGATCTACAAAATAATGCATATATGCATTCATTATTGTTGTCATTATTCATTTATAAACATACCTATGGAATAGCTATCCTGTACCAACCACTGCTTCACTTGGTGCTGTGGATACACTAAAAGAGTTCGATAAGATGAAGGTTCTCTCTCTAGTGAAGGTAGACAGGTGATAAGAAAATAAACTAGAAAGACAATTTCAAGAAAGAGTAAAAAGAAGGCAAGCAAGAGTAACAAGGTCAAAGACTATCTCTGTGAAGAAATTATTTGAATCTGAAAACACTGTTTCTTGAAACCTAATTCTCTAAATATCTAATTATAAGTAAGATATACCTGTAAAAATGTGATTATTTTATGGAGAAAACATTAATTTGATCATGTTCCTTTTATCTTAGAGGCAATAATGTGAGCTGTTGTAGAATTTACAGATTGTTTTTCCCTAACGCGTAGATCTAATTCACCATTGAGTCAACCCATTACACTTCATCATTCAAAATTTAATGAGGAAATTGCTAGGTTCCAAGCATTTTTATTTCATATTCTTCTTGACTTCTCCTTTGTTATGTCCCACGCTGCAGTTCTTAATGTGATAACTCTTCTCCCAATAGTCAAGTCAGACCTCTCCTTCCAGCTCTGACATGAAGAGAATTATGTTACCAATCAGGGAATAGAAGATAAACATAAACATGCCCTGGTTAATATTAAAAATATTGCTTTACCTTAATTTCATCAAGCACATTTAAATATACTGAAAACAGTATGAAGTAGCATACACTGTGTGTGGAATACTATCCGTGTTGCATATGGGCTTACTGATGGAGAGTATTTTTTGTTTGTTTTGAGTTTAATATTTCAGATCTTTGTGATAGTGCCTTGATAGTGTATTGCGAGGTGAAGTTTGGAGAAAAGTCTATTTGTATACTGTATGTTGGTTTCTTTTCTCTTAGATCCTTTTATTTTACTTGGAAACAAGTATATTTCTTAATTAGTAATCTTATAATTTTTAAACATCTGTTCCTCCAATTTGTTTAAAAGTTGTTTTTAAGCCATTTCCAAAAGCTGCCTTTGAATAGGGCAGCTCTTACTTTTCTATATTTATCCCTCAAGGTGTTTTCACAGGTCATGAACAAGTATGAAGTGTCTGAGACATACTTTTTTACTGTTAAGTAAATTTAATGAAAACATATTTAAAGTTTAGATTTTTTTTTCTAATATACCTTTATGTTGGGGCATCGAGTCAGTATTTCCAGGTAACATAATAACATTATTAGGTGATTTTCTGGTTGTACATAAACCTCTTTCCCAGTTCCTCAGGGGAAGAACTATGAACATTCACATTCACTCATTAAGCGCTTAATGAGAAGTAGGTATGTGTTAAACTAAGTACTGGGTGATAAAATTGTGAAACAGATTTGAGTTTGTAGCTTACAGTTTAACACAAGACACAAAAATTAAACAGGTAATTAGTTAATTTGTGGTTGAGGTAAATGCTGTATCAAATGGAAACCTAACCTATTCTTAGAAAGAAGTTAACTTGAGGAAATGAAGTATAAGGTGTGACCGGAAAGATAAGTAGGAGTTATCCCACCCCTACTTATGTGTGTGGAGGGATACATATTCTGCTGTGCAAATACCCTGAATTGTAAAAGAACTTGTCAGGTTCAGGGAACAGGAAAAGGCCAGTATAGTTGGAGCATATGGAGAAAAATCAAATTAGATATCTCTGAAGACACAGATAAGAGCCAGGTCAGATAGGCCAGGCTAGTGATTAGTTCCTACAGCACTGAGAAACTATTTAAATGTGCTAAGATTTGCATTTTGTAAAAATTGTTGTGAATACAAGATGGAGAATAGATTAGGAGAGTGAAGAGTGGGTATTGAAATTTTCTAAGTGGGAAGTGATGGCTCATTAGACCAGTCATGTTGTAATGGAGGTAAGTTGACAGGTCAAGGGAATATTTAAGAGCTTGAGAACTGATTGATAGTTGGGATGCAGTGACATGAAGGAGTGGGAACGTAAAGGATCCAAGTTCCTGGTATGGAGTACAATGTGATTTATTGAGATGAGCAGTTCTGGAAGAAGAGAAAGTTGAGAGACAAGATGATGAGTTCAGTTTGGACATGTTGAGTTTGAAATGACTTTAAGAGATCTCAGTGGAACTGTTAAGTGAAACTTAAATAATGCCTGGACTCCCTTCTGTGAGCATGTATAGCATACAGTTGGTAAATGGTGCTACAGAAAGGGATGATCCAGGAGCAAACCTTGAGGAGGTTCTCTGAAATTTTAAGGTTGACTCAAAGGGGGAAAACTGGCAGAGGACATTTTCCCTGCAGAGGAGAAACTGTCAGAGTGAGGTTGCCAAAACGAGGGGACAAGAGCAATTCAAAAAGCAAGTGATTGACTGTGATGAATAGTACCAAGACTGATTGTAATGCAAACTCAGCACCATACTAAGGTCAGTGGAAGATGCATTGATGTTGAGAAGTAAGGTGTGAGGTAATTGAGATAAGTTCTTTGAGAAATTTGACTGTAAATAAGGAAAAGTGAACAGCAACTAAGATGGTGGGAGGTATAGGATCCAGTGTCTTTTGTTTTATTTATTTTCTTTGTATAATGTCTGAAACTGGAATATATTTAAATGTTTATTAGTAAGTCAATATGATAGGCTAAATATCATGGGGAATGGAAGAAGGTGAGATCTGAGCATAAGTGGTGAGGGATTTGCTTTGCATAGGGGAGAATGCTCTCAGCATTGCAGTGGAAAAGAAGGAGGGAAATGATGGCACAGGATGGACTTCCTGTCCTCTGGTTACTGTTTGTTCAGTTTGCAACAAGCAAGCTGTCAGCTGCAGAGAGCCAAAGCATGGAGGTGGGTGGGAGGTTTGGGACAGTGATATTTGTTAACAACTCCTCAGCCCTGTGTGTACTTTTTCTCAGGATCATAGTTATCCAAAATCTCTCAGATCCAAAATTTCTCAGGATCATAGTTAATCCAAAATCTCTCAGAAGGAGAGTCCAATTGAGTTGTGCTGGGCTCCCCACCCCCATGGATAGGTGTGATTAAAAAGAGAGATGAATGAATTTTAAGTTATTTGCAACAGACAGTCAAGGAATAGTTGGCAGGATCTAAATTAGACAAGGGAGCAGGATTATGAAAAAGGGACTGATGAAGACAAAGGAAGGGAAATTAGTGGCCTAGAAATTCCATCAGTGTTGAAAACTTCATCAGCAGTTGGAGCTCTAGAGCCAGAAATGATTTTCTAGTTAGTGGGTTTGTAGTGAGGCTATTTTGAGTGATGACAAGACTTAGAGGGTGTTCTTTGTGTGTGTGTGACCACATGGATTCTGGGAAGAGGCCACTGGAGATGATGAGGTCAGTGATCTGCTGGAGTGGCATCATGGACAGGAAGCCTGTATAGGTGTTGAACTGACCTGTGCTTACTGTTGAAGATAGGACAGAGTGAAACATGACAGTCTGCATGCCAGAGTCTTCTCTTGGTAATTTGAGATGAGCAGCTGGGTGAGAGAGTGAAAAGGCAGATGGTTGAGCCCAAGTCATGAGCCTCAGAAGTACAGGAGCACAGTGGCATAAAGAAAATAAAGCTTCTCCTGCAAAGGGATACAGGGAGCATGGCTTCATCCAACAGCCAGGTGAAACTAGAGTTAGGAGATGAGAAAACAGTGAGCTGAGGATAAGGAAATGGAGTTTGTTGAACAGAAAATGCAGGTGTGAGAGCTGGGGACGGAGAAGGAACATGCAGGATTGTCAGTAAATTAAGGCCTAGAATAGCCTGGGATGGTACATTCCAGGAGCTGATAGCTCTTATCCTGTGTGTGTGTGTGTGTGTGTGTGTGTGTGTGTTCATTTGGGTTGGGGTGGGGAAAGAGTGAGGAAAAAAATGACGGAACAGGATGTGGGGGGATTTATTCTGATCATTTTTGCATCTGTGATTGTTAGAATTCATCTCCAGCCTGGAATGATTGGGACGTAGCAGTAGAGTGGAGTGAAAGGAAAGTTAGTGTAGTGCTGTACCAAGCTTGACAGCCAGTTGAGCAAGCATAGTCAGGGCCTCATGTGCCATGCTCAGCATGCCCTTTTGCTGGCTTGGTTGTGGAGGTATCAGGTGCTGGTATTCTTAGCTCATGGTTATATTCCCTTGCTGTTATTAATCTCTGACAGAAAGAAGTGAATATTCTCATACCTGTTTAATTTCTTCAATGCCTATTCATTTTTTTCTCTATCTGATATTAGTCATTCTGTGTTACTTATTATAGGTATTTTCTGCTAAACCATTTTTTTAAATATCACAAGCACTCAGTAAATGGGTTTTGGTGAGACTTGTTTTTAATTTGTAAAGTCTCAACATCATTTATATATTTTAGTCTCTCCATCTCTTTAATGAGGGTGTTTTCAAGGTGTGTTCTTTTACTTCCTGAAGGGGCAAATGATGTGAAAATCCTTCCAGGTCAAGCTGTTTGTCCTACTCCTGGGTGCCGAGGAATAGGCCATATCCGTGGTCCACGCTATGCAGGACATCACAGGTAAAGATTTTTCTTATTGTAATTATTTCAGGGATGAATGAGAACATTGTGTGCTGAGCAGCGGCTACATATGTCATCATAAATGACTCTCTTGGAGCTAGCTGCCCCATCACTGTCTCCTCTCTGTTGCTAAGGCCCTTCATTGACGAGTCCTGCTATCTGCCCATCTGTGCCCTTCTGGAGTTTGCCTGGATTCCTGAGGCATTTTTTCTGACCCACCTCATTTCCCCAAGTCTCTGCTCTCTAAGGTTTTTCCTAACAAGTGCATGCCATGTGATACACTCATCCTCTACTGCCTACCTCTGCTCTGAATCGTCTCCACTCTACTGCTAAGTCTTGCTTTCTTGTAGAGAATTCTAGATCCTGTTTTCTCTTCCCCTTTTGTTTTCACCTTACTTCTATTTCTTTTTCTTTCTTTCTTATTCATTCAGAGAAGAGATAGAACTTGCACAAGAATAGAGAACAAGTGTGACATTTATGTCTGAGTTTTAAATGTTTGAAAATAATTAGGTGGTGCTTTTAAGAGACAATAGTACAAAAATAGGTACCTAAGTCTACTGCTCTTTGTGTCCCCTTCAACTGGTAAAACGATGCATAGATGAATTACTCACAATTGATGATGTAGTAACAATTAAAACTGAAAAGAATCAATAACAGATTTGTCCAGATATATAGAACAAACATTGTAAATAAGTGTAAAGACAAAGGAGTAAGTCATAGTAACACATAAAGCAAGAAAACATTTGTTCAAGTGAAAGAGATCTGAAAGTTCTTTTTTATCAGGGGATTTAATCCTAGAAAGCAGTGCCCAAACATTTCTGCAAAGTGTGACTATAACACATAATGGTAAACACTACAAACAGCATATATGAATATCAATGTTGTGTACACAGACATATTAACACTTAAAATAAGTATATAGCATAGTGTCCATTCAAAGGAATAAAGATATGCAAACATGTTGGTCACTAGTGCAGATCTTTGGCACTCATGAATTATGAGACTGGTAACGGACCCAGTAGAACCATAGTCCTGTGAGTGGGAAGGAGGAAAAGGGTGACAGACAAACAGAGCAGTACAAGGAGAGAAAAGGAGAGAGTTGCAGAATCAGGAAGGTGATGTGAATTAGGTGAGGACACTGTTGGTGTTGGAGCCACTTTCCAGCTATCGCCCAGAATGTGTGGCTACAGAGAATCTTCCTCAAGATTGTGCGTGCAAAGTCCAGTATGGTGCTCACTACTTATGTGTCTATTTAAAATCACTTAAATTAAATAAAATTAAAATTTTAGTCCCTCAGTCCCACTTAGCCATATTTCAAGTACTCAGTAGCCACATGTGGTTAGTGTCACTGTACTGGGCAGCACTGATAGGAGACATTTCCACCATCACAGAGTTCTGTTTAACACCCCTGAGAGACATTAGCATAGTGTTCTGACTTCTCCTCAGAGATTTTTTTGAGTGAAATAACTGGCCATCTTAGCACTGCCTTCAAAACTTGGGTCATTTTCTTCAAAGTTAACCAGAGCATAGTGTGCGGTCTTTCCCATAAAGCTCTCTGGAATCCCACTCCCACCCCTATGGAGCTGGGGTTCAGATTACAAGTATGCTCCCTGTGCAGCTTCTTCAAGCTGCTCAACTGCTCTTCCAGGCCTCTTTTCTCGCTTCATCAAAGCTGACTTGCTTCCTACCCTGTCCTGTGTGTCACCAATTCACCTTTCCCCTCAGGATTCTGAGAGGTATTAACCAGAGTCACAGCAGGCATGCTCTTCCTTGTTCCAGCAGCCTCTCTAAACTTTTGCTCATCCAACATGAGTATGATTGATGTTCTCAGTTGTGTTATTGAATTAATAACAGTATGAAAATGTTTGACATGTTTTATCTGTCAAATAATCTTTAAATGTTGGGCTCAGAACTTCTGAATGAACTAAAATGCAGAAAAAAAAGAAGAGTTGAAAGAAAAGCATTCTATGAGACACAGAGAAAAAAATCAAAATCGTGAGGAAATATGATAGTGACAACCATGGGACACTCTTAGGTAGCAAGGAGGCAAGAGACTCTGTCAGACCTCAAGATGCACAGTGCTGCCTTAAGGTTGAGACATGATGCTAGTTCATTTGTAGATTTCATTATAATAGAGCTGGACTCTTGTAAGAAACAGAAGGTGTTCAGAAGTTTAATGATTCTGGGGTCTCAGAAATGAGAATTGGAAAGCAAGGAATCCCTGTAGTTAGCAAAAAATAGAAAAGACAAAAGTTTGAAAGCTGAATTTTTTTGAACTTGCATGTTTATGTATCATTTACAAGGCATTTGAACTTTAGGTTAAGTAAATTCAAACTTGCCTATAAAGGAAATGCTTGTAGGTTTAATTATTTGTAGCACTCAAGGAATGAAGCCAAGTTTCCTGGTGGAGTTAGTGTGGACCATGAGGCAGTCATTGGAGATTGGGGACTACAGATAAGTCAGTATAGCTCTAGTAAGCACTAGATATCTCTACTCTGGCTCTAATCATTTAATCATTGTCTTTTACCATGTTAATCAATTTATGAATGTAAGTGTGCATAATCAGAACTTATTTTCAGTTCTCTTGTAATTAACTGGATAAAATTGTTTTGATATCATCTATAGTCTCTGGGGTTTGTTTCATAGTATTTCTTTTTATTGTAGTCTAGTATTTATGTAGCTCTAAAAGATTAAAAGTACTGTTCTTCAGTTCTTACTTTTAGTAGTGTTTGTTGAGATACACACACACACACACACACACACACACACACACACACACAATTTGCCATAACACACCCCAAATTATCATTATACATTTTGTTCTTAAATGTCAAAGAGATAGTAAGCAAAAGAGGAGACTTTTTAAATGTCACTGTATTCTCCTAAATCCTAGATCTAATCCTATATGTAGTAGATAGAATCATTTCTAGCTTGAGTTTCCTGGCAAATTTAAATGAGTAAAACTTGCATTTTCCAAAAGTAGAAGTTTTTCTCTTGTCATAAATAACATACCTTTAACAAAGAGGCATCATTCTACACGATGCCTCTTGCAAACCTCTATTCCACATAATAATTAGGCAAACATTCCTATGTTAAGAAGAAGAAGAAAAAAATCAATACTGGAAAGCCTCTCCAGTTTTACTAAGGCCTGTATAAAACAACTCACTTGGTTTTTGCTTCAAATGCCTGGGGGGAATCGTGAACACACAGAGCCCTGCTCAAAGCAGAGTGGTGTTTCACCTGCTTTCCTATAAAATCCTTCTGGGCCATGAAGTGCTTGCAGATGGTGAGTGCTGTTTTCAAGGTAGAATTTCTAGTTCCCATGTTGATGGTCTTGTGTTCTGAAAAGAAGTAAACAGTCTTCTTAAAATAAGTTGTCGGCATCTTATTTTGTATTTCTGACAAGGAGAACAAGGACAACAAGACACCACTACAAACATTTGAAAATAACATATCACTTTAACACACGAGGAGGGCTCCTGCTTGTCCTTTTTAGATGGATTCCAGACAGGTTTATTTTCGTTTTCATTAAAATAGTCAAGAGTTAGTAATAATATTCTGAGCTGTTTAAAGTTCATATAGAATCTACTTAAAACATTATTTGAAAGAAATTGCATTAGTCCTTTTCCATATGAAAATCGAACTTTTGGCACACAATTATCACATAATTTACATTTTATTTGAATGAATTTATATAGTGAGTTGAATGAAGCAGGTGCATTTGTTAACATAGGAAATACTTAAAGACAGCAACATTGGGATAGCAAGACACAGACACATTTGAACCAGGGTCAAGGGTTAGATATGAAGTTTTTTTTTCTAAATAGAACAGACTCTGGAACACTTGGTTGACTTCTAATTTTGTGATTACAAAACATGCAGGGATAATTTATTTGGAAAGTAATTGTTACATTTTCTCTAGGAGCCAGGTATCATTACAATGCAAGGGTGCACACATTGCTAATGTGCCTCACCTTGGTCAACACAAATAGCAAATGAGCATGCATCTGCTTCTCAGAAGTGGGGTTCAGATCCCTCTCAGGTGGCTTTGTGTGCTCTTCATGCAGACTCAGCCTTTACCTGAAGTTGAACTGGCATTTTTTCAGCTCAAGAATATATATATGGAAATTCAAATATTTTCTTTTTACATCTGTTCCTGTGTGTATGTACACTTGTGTATGTGTATCTGTGTTTGTGTATGTATGTGTGTATTCATGTTCATAGCTTCAGACTTCCACCAGTTGAATGTCTAGACCCACCAGTTGTTAGGTAGTATGGGCAGACTGACCCCATAGTTACTATTCTTAGGTTCAGTTTCCTCATCAGTGAATGGGAGCTTTTCGTAGTAGAAAAAGTCAGATTTCATAATGAGATTACAACAGACATAAATCTTTATTCACTAAATAATGTAGTATCACAATAGTGAAAAATAGCTGCAGAAAATAAAAGGAGAAATAGAATAATGTAAGAAGATATTAACATCCATTTTAGACAATACTAGATTAAATAAGCTAAGCAGAAACAAGGATATACAGAATCTGAGTAACATGATTTAATAAAAGGAAGATTGGAAGATATATCAGCTAAAAACAGAATAAATATGCCTAAAAACACTTTCAAAACTTGAATTTCACTCACAAATAAGTCAATAAATTCTCAAAACCAAAACATTTTACCCCATTATCTGAGCAAAATGCAATAAAACAAGACTTACTGCAAAAAAATTTACCAAGAACACATGCAAAAACATTCATAACTGTAACTTGAGCAATCATGAGATCAAAGGAGAGCCCAACCCCAAATCTCAGAAAACCTAGGCAGTATGATGAGAAGACTAAAAAGATGATCTTTTAGAATATCACTTACATTATATATTATGTTATGTTACATTTCTTTATATTATAAACTTATACCCCACTCAGCAAGAAATAATGGAAATAAACTTATAAAACACTTAAGTCAAAAGTTATAGTTTTCAGGCTCTGGTTGCTCACGCTTAG